TTTGTAATTGCAGACACTACCTCCAGAGAACTCATACATTTACTTTTGCAGGCACTCAACATTGCCCCAAAATAAACATCTATTCTCTAAGGCCAGAAAGCAAGGCAATATTTTGATCTCACATGTGCTAGAATTGGAACATTAGCACAGCTGCCTTATCTTTGTGCAGAACAGGGCCACAGTCAGTGCTAATTCTGACCTCTCATGCATTTCTCTTCCAGTTTCCCTTGCCCCTGACCCATACACACTAAGCAGCAGCTCAAGTGTTTGCTGCAGAACTACAGGTTTCCTACATTGCTAATTTGATGTCTCTGTGTGGAATGAGCCACATGCAAAAGTAAAAGCTCTATCTGCTAATAACAGAGAGAAAAGATAAATCTGTATATTTTTTTCCCCTCACCTTCATCTCCCACTATCAGACAACACCCTTAGGTGTTTTGTACAACAGAGTGAAATTATCAAAGACTACATTAATTCATGTGTCTAATGAGATTTTATGAAGTGGTTAAACATCAACCACCATCACACCCTGAACTGGAAGAAAAAATTCCCATAATACCACATCAAATGGAATGCCTTCTAGAAATCATAAAAGCTGCTTAAGAAATGAAAAGGGTTAAATATTTAAACTTCCTTTAATTTCTAGCTGAGCCATAAGAAATAGAAAAGTGCGATAGTGAACAATTCATTTAGAGGAGCAGTATCACATTGCACCTAAACAGCTTTCTATGCTACTACAAAGCAATGTTACAAGCTTAAAAGCATTATAGGCCATTCATTCACTAATTTGCAACCACTGATTCACTATTTCTAGATTTAAGGCATAGATTAAGTCTTCCAGCTAACAGAAATGAAGTAGTCCCATTATTTTTAAAATTTTAGTTTTAAAAGAGGTCACCAGAAGCCAGTTACTACCAATAAACGCCACTGGTTTTTAAAGATAATGCTGCAGATGTAAAATTACGTTTCAAAGACAACTGTATGTCTTGCAATAGCTCTCATTAAGAATTGAAAACGTAAGTTATAGAAGACTGAGACAAGGAAGCGAAAAGTTCATTCACTTGCTTCTGCAGATTTGTTTAATAAAAGCCTCCAGAAACCACCCAGAAATCTGAGTACTTTGTAACAACTGTAACAGAATGGAGGAAAAAAAAAAAAAGGACCCGAGATAAGATTTCTTCATGGTGAGGATGACTTGCACTTGCATAAATGCCTTTCATCCAGATGGATACAAAACTGATTTACAGCTATAGGAACCTCTTCAATCATGAGTATGACTTGCCTCTGGTGTAAAAAGTAGAAGGATAGCGACAACATAGTGCAACTGCACAAAGTTTGGGCCTGGCGTTAAATTCTGGAACTAAACCAGAAATGGAATTTTAGGTCAGTTGAAGTCATCTGCCTGATGCCTGGTATAGCTGGATTTTCACTCTCTCAGCCTATTAAACACAACAAAGGTAACAAGAGCATGGTAAGTCTTCTACTTGACACAATCTAATAAGTAATTTTTCATCAGGGAGGCCAGGGGCCAAAGAAAAAAAAAAAAAAGGAAAACAGAAAAATCTAAGATCTTAAAATTACACGGGGAATGGAGGGGCAAAATAACTCTCAGGGCGTGGCCAAGACATCAAAAAACTCCAAAACGTACACTATTCCTACACAGTGCTGGGTTTCCAGCTAAGCAACCACTCCAGGGGAGCTAGCTATCGCTTTGGACAACTTAAGGGGAAACTTTGCCTAACGTACAAGCACAGTTAGCCAGAGATGACAGACTATGTAAAGCAAAAAAACAGTGACAATATTTGGTAAATTAATAATATGCCATTGTTTAAAACAATCAAAACTAAAACACAGCAAAGACCCTTTCTTCAAATGTAGCAAAACCAGATGGGATTGAGATAGATAATCTTTAACAGTGGGATGCAGGGTTTAGACACTATCTGAAGATACTCAATTGTTTCGTTCCGGAAGACATTACATTATGAAGTTGATCAAGATAGCTGATGCAAGTCAGGCATTCTCCCGTACTAAAACATGAGATGAGGAATTTAAAGCACATGCATTTCACACCATTTAAAGTAACAGCAGTTACTGTCACACCACTGACAGCAACAGAATTCAAATACAAATAATTAAGATACCCAATTACACTATCTAAGTCAAATTTTATTTTCAACCCAACATTTTCACACCTTAAGAATTTAAGACAAACAACAACTGAGAGATCCCCCCCCCCCCCCTTTTCCCTTGTTTTCACCCATGAGGAATTTTCGGGGTCTTCCCAAAAACGTGGTGTTCACCTACGATGCAATTTCTGAGCCTTCCTCTAAACACGTGAGGAAGAAAAGAGACTAGAGAGCCTCCAAGCTGCATTTAGTTCATTTTTCCACTGAATCTTCTGGAAATGGCAAAACCCCCATGTTTTTCAATTCAGAATAACACACTGAAACAGAAGCTCTCTCAGATTTGTTACTGTAGACAGAGCAGCACATTATTACAGACTCAATAACCCTTACTTTAAGCCAAAGCTTTCAAAAACACCTTTAGCCTTTTCTTGCCTATTTAAGAGCATAATAATTACCTAGTTGTAAACCTGGGTTTTAACATTAATATGGCTCCCTTCCTTATTAACTGAAAAATGGTTTTGCTCCACATTTGGGCTTGGGCGCTGAGACACGCTTGTCACTTGAAAACAAGTTACGCGCAGGCCCCAATACAGCAATAACTTTCTTATTACATGCGGTTTGCATGTTTTTAGAGCTGGGAATCAGATAAAAAAGTTGCCACATTAAGCGCTGTTAACCCGAAGTGTTGCAAAGTCCCAAAGATTAACGCTGCAGGAGCAAAGGAGGAGCCTAGGAGGCCTGTCTAGGGAAAAGGCCTCGCCTGGGAATTGCAACACACCGCCCGCACACGTTGCAAGCGGGAGGCGCAGGGACACCGGCTGCTCCGCGGGGCGCAGGCACTCACCGTAAGGGTGTCGTCGATGTAGAGGGGAATCTGCCTCTTCTCGAAAGGGAATTCCTCCTCCCCGTCCCTGCAAACTGCAACCAGCCGCGCCATCTCTGCTGCTGTTGCTGCTTCCTCCCAGCTCCAGCCTGCGAGCAGCCAAACCCCGGGGAGGTAAATACCCGCCGCGCTTCCCCGGCACACTTTCACCAGCCCGGGAACAAGCCTGCTTTACCCCATCGCCTGATTCACCACGCCGAGCGCTGGCCCCGCCGCCCAGCCCACGCCCGGGCGCGCA